CAGGGTGTAGTGAGCACTTGGAAATAAAAAAAAGCTGCTAGCACTAAAAGTTGACCAACCCACATATAAAAAAATAAACAACAGAATGTACAGCTCTAAAAATGCTACATGTAAATTGTATATAGCAAATCGCAATCAGAAAATACAAGTGAATCACATAATAACATTATGAACTGTAAGGTATACAATGTTAGTAGTAGTAACATACAACAATATGCACCAAAGAGTGAAAAGTGCAAAGTGACTAATAAATAATAAAGTCCATTGACTATTGAACATGAAAATCAGTGACAACAATCCAGTGGTGACACCTCTTCTGTGAGACCTTCACCCCTATGCACTCACCAGAAATATGGCAAACATATGCCCAAAATCATATTAAGATCTGTGATGGACTCCTTCACTCCTTCCTCATAGCTGACTCCAACAGAAGTGACCAAGATGCACCTTAATAAAAAAAAAAGCTCACACACGGAGCCCAAGGAAACGTACATAGTGTAGTATTTTATTCAAATAGCAATAAAATCCACATGGAGTAGATAAAAGACTAAGTGGCTGAACTTACATGAATGGCTGCCAGACCATGCATGGCTGTGGCGGCGTGACGTCAGCATGCAGGCTGACACATTTTATGCACATGCACGTTCTCAAAGGGACCTGCCTCCTTAGTCTTTTAACCACTTCCCAACTGCACTATAGCTGAAAGACGGCTACAACATGGTTGTCCAGTTCTGGGAGGGTGTCCTCCCAGAACGCGCCCCCAGCGGTGCGCACCCGGCGCTGTCAACGATTGCCGTGTCCTACAGACACAGCTGATCATGTGATGAGGTAAAAGGCCAATCACAGTGGCCTTTTAACACATGATCTGCTGTGTCCAATGACACAGCAGATCACAATGTAAATACAGTTGCTGGTTATCGGCTGCACTTTCGTCATGCTCTCACAGTGTCCGTCAGTGCCCATCATTGCTGCCTATTAGTGCATCATCAGTGCCTCCTCATTAATGCCAACCAGTGCCACCTCATCAGCGCCGCCTCGTCAGTGCTACCTATCAGTGCTGCCTCATCAATGCACATCAGTAAAGGAGAAAAATTACCTGTTTGCAAAATTTTATAATAGCAACAAAGACAACTTTTTTTTTTTTTTTCAAATTTTTTGCTCTTTTTTCATTTACAGTGCAAAAAATAAAAAACCCAGTGGCGATTAAATACCACCAAAAGAAAGTTCTATGTGTGTGAAAAAAATTATACAATGTTGCATGACCGCGCAATTGTCATTCAAAGTGCAACAGCGCTGAAATCGGAAAATTGGCCTGGGCAAGAAGGGGGTTAAAGTACCTTGTAGGCAAGTGGTTAAAGTGAAGATGTGAGTTAGAAATATAGGATCTGTCATTGATTACTTGGCTTTAATGGTGCAGGTTTTGGGGCTGTCATACTCATCCTGAATTTAGCACCTTATGAGTCACTGGACCGGAACAATCATGCAGCCAGTGCAATCTGAAAAACCTGAACATCCAGCTTGCATGGTTGTTGGAGGCAAGTGGCACATTAGGTGGTAAGGCAGTTTTAGAATGATGGCCCTAGTTTGCTAAAAATATAGGTGGTAAAGGCAGTTTTAAGATGATCACTCTGGAGTTTGCTAATAATAGGCAGCTCCCATATATCTCTCTTCAGACAGGTTCTCTTTAAGCTACTGCTGAGCTTCTTCACTCTTTTCTTGCCTGATGGCTCTTAAAGCTCACCTCTTCAGAGATCAGACTATGGCAGAGTAGTCTACAGACATGGGTGAACATAGCTAGCTCTATAAGTGATAGTATGTCTGTAAGTTCTTCCTGATATCCCTGGCTGAGCCTGCTCTGGGGAGGAATTGATCAAATTCCAGACAAGCAATATAGTTTTCTGCCAAAGCAAATAGTCTCAAATATTAAAGACAAAAGTTCAAAACAAAACAGGGCAGAACTATTATCATTTCCCTTTAAATGCTAGATCGCAGGTTAATGAGACTAAAGAGATTTCCCTTCCAGTTGGAATACAATTTCTATATGTCCCAAGGACTTTCCCAAGTCCGTTTACATAACAGATGATCCCACCCGTACATACCTCACCTCTCCAGCTGCTGCTGCATTTTCTGCATCGGCGATTTCAGCTTTTTGATTTTTTGACATTTATTTGCAGATATAATCTGACATTTTTGTAATATGTATTCGTTTGTGTAGATCTGACATATTCTGCAGCATTTTTTACAGAGAACAGTAAAACAGAACATCTGCCTGTACCCTGAAAGAGGTAAAGTGTATCTAAGCACTTATAGCTGAATTCCAGGTATGGTTTGTATTACACAGTTACATTGGTACAGCTTGGATAAGTGTAAGTATGCCTAGTCTATACCTGTGGGACCACTGTGGAATAGGAGAATTACTCCAACAATGATCTCCGCGATTATCTGGGTCCCATGCCAAGCGTCTACCCTACTGCATAGCAACCACAGGGGGTTGCTCACTCACCATGACCGCCATTCAGAGAATGACTTCTCAACAAATGCAAAGCCTTCTCTGATTGCATGAGATGGAATGGCAAGACAGTGACATTATGATCTCTACTTTGTCCAATCAGAGAACACATTGCAAACATTGAGAGAAATGCAAGGCATTCTCTGAATGGCAGCTCTGAGAGAACGACCCCCTGTGATAACAATGCAGCAGGGCAGCCGCTTGGCATAGGATCTGAAAGACATTGGCAATTACTCTAGAAGTAGTGACAACTACAGTTATTCTCTGTTTCCACAGCAGTTATACAGGTACACAATATGGATCAATATGAAACAAAACATACCTGAAATTCAGCTTTAAAGCTGAACTCCAGGCAGATATTTAAGACACAAACTAATGCTGCTCTGTATTCTTTAATTCATCTGTAAATGTGTTTTTTTTGGTAATATAAACAGTGTAAGTATTGGAATTTGACTTGTTATAAACCACTGTACAGCAGAGCTCAGACTGAAGGAGAAGCAACACAAGGAGCCAATCATTTGCACTGCATTGCAAGGAGAATTCTGATCAGAGGAGAGAGCAGAATTACATTGAGATGAACTCATTAATCTGCCTTTTTCTCCTGTCCAATCACAAGCCGGGGGAGGGATAAAACAAAGTGCTACTGAACTGCCACAGAGAAAAACTTGGTCGGCTGTCTGGTCAAGCAGGGCTTTGTAAATCTTAAGACTGGATGGACAAAAATACACATCCTTTTGGCAAGTAAAAGAGCTCCATTCTTCTGTGTATTCAGCTTTGCCTGGAGTTCTGACCAAATATCTAGCTGTATATACAGTGGGGAAAATAATTATTTGATCCCCTGAAGTTTTCCCACTTACAAAGAAATGAAGGGTCTATAATTTTTATCATAAGTGTATTTTAAATGATAGAGACAATACTGACAGGAATCAACAGTTCTTTTTTTAGTTTATTAAAGTATATATGTCTTTTTACCAAGTTGTCAAACTAGACATGGAGCAGATCACAGAAGGCTTGCTGTGTTTTAGTTTATCTTGGTGTCATGGTAACGTACTCAGTATGCCCTCTTTAAAAAAAATGATGCTGAGATCATATAAAAATGTAGTTGATGCACATACAAAAAATGCATCAATTTACTTCACCTTTTATTCTACCAAAGGCAACATCCGTGAATAATTATTACTTTTTTTCTTTATTTTTACCATGTGATTCTGGCAGTAACAAACGTCCTGTCCTAGAGTGACAACACACAGTCTGTACTGTATCTATGGAAGAGCAGCATTGTCACCCTAGGAGAGAAAGTGTCGTAGGACTCTCCAAAAAAGAGGGGAGGTGCTCAATAGTCCACAGAGAGAACTGGTAACAACTTGGGCTTACAAGATTTCTTTCAGGATAACTAGGTATTTTTTTGTTTTCCACTTATTGAACAGATATAACAAAATTCTTAAAGCAGAGCTCCACCAAAAAGGGGAAATTCCGCTTTAAGGACTGCTCCCCAGGTCCCCATTAAGGATTGGCACCTTTGTGGGGCTGGGGGGGAGCGGGTACCCGAATTTGACAGGTACCCGCTCTCCACTTCTGGTCCAATAGCCTAGACCAGTGGTCGGCAAGCCGCGGCTCGTGAGCCACATGCGGCTCTTTACACACTTCAATGCGGCTCTTCTGTGGGCCGGGCGCCCGCTCCCCTCCCTCCTCTCGGGCGGCCGCCCCAAAAGTCAGGACTCTGCAGCTAGCCCAGCAATGGGCAAACTACGGCCCGGCGGACCTTTCAATCCAGCCCGCGGAGCGTGGCAAACATTGGCTGTCAAGATGTAGGCGGGGCAGCCAGGATGTAGGCGGGGCAGCGTGACGAACTCCTCTCCTCTCACAGTCCGCCCTGAAGACCGGAACGGCGCGGGAACACGGCGAGAGGAACGCACGGAGCAAAGGTAAGTGAATTGACACAATATGGGGAATTAATTACTATAGGGGGATGAATTACTATAGGGGGGATGAATTACTATATGGGGGATGAATTACTATAGGGGGGATGAATTACTATATGGGGGATGAATTACTATGGGGGATGAATTACTATATGGGGGATGAATTACTATATGGGGGATGAATTACTATATGGGGGATGAATTACTATGGGGGATGAATTACTATATGGGGGATGAATTACTATATGGGGGATGAATTACTATATAAGGGATGAATTACTATATGGGGGGGATGAATTACTATGGGGGATGAATTACTATATGGGGGGATGAATTACTATATGGGGGATGAATTACTATGGGGATGAATTACTATATGGGGGATGAATTACTATGGGGGATGAATTACTATATAGGGGGGGTGAATTACTATATAAGGGATGAATTACTATGGGGGATGAATTACTATATGGGGGATGTATTTTCAGTTTTAAAAATGTGGCTCTCAAAATAAATTTCAATCGTGGTTTTGGCGAGATTTGGCTCAGTTGAAAAAAAAGGTTGCCCACCACTGGCCTAGATGATCGAAAGCGGAAGGTGTTCTCCCTTCCTCCCTCCCTGTAGTCTTTTGGGACATGAGACAGGTCCCAGAAGACTACAGGACCATTAATGAAGTGCAGCACTATTCACGCATGCGCAGTGGGTACCCAGCTGTGAAGCCGCAAGCTATCGCAGCCAGGTGCCCACACTGAAGATGCCGGCCTCCTGGAATCCAGGACGGCTGGTGAAACGGGCTGCAGGGGACACACCGTGGGACCGAGGGACAGGTAAGTGGCTGTTTTTTAAAAGTCAGCAGCTACAGTTTTTTTTTGTAGCTGCTGACTTTAATTTTTTGACAGAGTGAGTGGAACGCCGCTTTAATGTATTTAACTGACCAAACAAGTAAAAAAGAAAAGTTTATTGTTAGCCTTTACATACATACAAACTTTTTTTAGTAGCCTGTTAATTGGCTACAGGGCCTTGAGGATCTGTCTGAATCAGGAACCTACTTGTTAATCTATCACTATCCCAACACAAGTAGGGTCTATTTACGTAATCCTTTTCTTGGGCACCAAAAGTCCTACCTTGCATCAATCCATATTCAACGGGAACAAGGCCAATGGAACAAAACGAAAAGATTCCTATAGGTTTTGTGTTCCGGCTACATTAGCAAGTAGGATAATTGCAATTAGGTTAATTGGGAAATTCATGAGAGTCATCTGCTAGCAAAGAGTTTGATTACAGAGCAGCTGCAAGACGCTAATAGAATCTGAACATGCTATCCTCAAGTGTCCGTCACCTACACATCGAGCATGAGAAAAATAACAGGGTAAAAACTGATTATCTGGCAATCTTCAGAATATTTCAAGAGCTCTTCCTGACTATATCACTGATAATGATAGCTAGGATCACAAATTTTCTTCCTTTGAGGTATTTCAAGAGATGAAACAGTCACAGTGAAAACTTTCAGCATTACTTGGTGCCATCAAGTGGTATTAATCCTGCTCCTGATTCTGCACCCGCTTGTCAACTATTTATGAAGACAGAAATGCCATATTCCTATATTCTTCATTACAGTGACTTCACCCCCAGTGCCCAACCGGTACATACTTGTACTGCTGCTGACTCCTGTTATAGCATGCCGCAAAATAAAGTCTCAGTTATTCATTGAGATGAACCTTGCACCCTTAAAAGACAAATACTGTACCCTGTTATAAATCCCTACCTTAGGCTCCATGTACACTGCAGCTAATAAACTTAAGTTTAGGAGCTTTTCTGCATTTTTTTCAGCAGCCTCTGAACTCCCCTAATGTTTTCCTATGTGTCCATGTACACATCGTCGTTTGCAGGCAGTTGAGTTTACAGTCTTTTTTTAAAGCACCAAACTTACGTTCAGGAAAATGTATCAGTGTTTCAAATGCCAAACGTTTGTAAACGTGGCTAACCGCATTTATAAGCGTTTGTGTTTGGAAATTTTTTTCAACTCTTCTATTTCCAGATGCTGTCTAGAGCCTTTTTTCATCATGAAAAATGCAGGCAAAGTGTTTTCCTGGTACTCAAATGGACCTGGTACACCATACTTTGAGGTTTCACATGAAAGAAAATATGTTTAGACACTGCTGCAATAATTTCTGCACAGAAATGAACTGGAACACATAAAAACACCACAAAAAGAAAAAAAAAAAAGACAGCAAATCTCAACAAATACTGCTCTCTCTGCTTCTACTCTATATTTATCTCAAAATGTCTGAAATAGTTAATTTTTCACTGTTTTTCAGTGCCTTCTGGGCATTTTGGAAGGTCTCCTGAGGTTGTCTTTAAAAAAAACGCTTCTAAATGCAAACGCTCATAAATGCGGTATGCAAACGCAATTAAACAGACGTTTTTTAACCTATTTTTTTTCAGCAGTCAGTTTCCATCATTCAGAAGTGTCCCTTGTACATGGAGCCTTAGATAGAAACCATGATCAGTGTCATTCAAAAGGAGAAAACTTTTAAGCATTTCAAGTGATGGGTAAATCCTTTGGAAATAAAGGGTGGGGAGGGATATAAAACTTCTTCAAAAGGAAAGTATTTTTTTTTTTTTTATACAGACTCCTTCATAATCTGATGTTTTATATATAATTTTGTTAATGTTATTTCAAACATTTATTTTCCAGGTAAACCTTTAATTGATGGTGCTTTCATGATTCTCTGTTAGCACAACTCTTTCTAATATGGAGGCCCAGCACCTGTGATGTAGTTTTTGATTGCCCTTGCAAATGAAAATGAGACCATTTAGTTTCAGCTAGGTGAGAGAAAGGGAAGTGTTTCAATCTTCAGGCCCATTCAGCTATGTGTAATATGATATCTTGCTATGTGCATCTATTTATAAGAAGTGCTTGTTGACTGCCGAAATAAGAGATGCTCCAGATGGCTGCACACCTTGTGGACTTTATCATATATGGTGATGATTAGCGCTTGTATAGTATGAAACGCGTTAAAATCTTTCTTTCCTCCACTGTGATTTTATATTTTTGTACATGTATTTGATAGATAATATCCACAAAGTGTGCAGCCAACTGGAGCATCACTTCATTTCTACACAGTACAGCTGGCGAGCCGGGCTAGCACCTTTACAGAGGTGCGGGGCAGTGAATGTAACCGGAGAAGCACAAATGCCTGGAGCAGTGTAAACCTTCCCTTCTCTAAGCTTGTTGACTACCCCTGAAAATTGCAAACACAGACAGTTTAGTCTCTACTAGAAAAGAGAAAGGGGAGAGTGTCCCTCTTCAGCTGTGTGTAATCTTTTTATATATTTTAGGTCTCTTCACAGAATGGACTATTAAGAGCATAGTAGTAAGCCAACCAGGTGATTAGTTGGACATTTCGCCCCGCATTTGCCAACCGCTGGTTGCAAACATTAATTAATAAAGTTTAACTACCATAAACAATATTCACAACTTCCTGATTTGAAAAAAAAAAAAAGACAGTTTTTTAAAGGATAAGTTCACCTTTCATAACATGTTACCCTGAATATGGGTGCAACATGTAACATTATTATTATTATTCAGGATTTATATAGCGCCACCAGTTTGCGCAGCGCTTTACAATATAACGGGAGACAATACAGTTCAATACAAGAGAGAAAGGAGGGCCCTGCTCCTTGGAGCTTACAATCTAAGAGGGAGGGGCTAGTGGTACAAAAGGTAGTAACTGTGGGGGATGGACTGGTTGGAAGAGTAGAAGATTCCTTTATTAGCTGAGGGCAGATTAGGCTTCACTTGAAGAGATAGGTTTTCAGAGATCGCCTAAAAGTGAGCAGAGTAGGCTGATAAATTGGGGTAGAGAGTTCCAGAGGATGGGGGAAGCTCTGGAGAAGTCCTGGAGACAAGCATGGGAGAAGGAGACAAGGGAGCTAGAGAGTAGGAGTGTCAGGGCAGGGGCCGAGGAACGGACAGGCAGGCCTAACAATGTAACGCACTGGCTGACGACAACCACTATCCACAGACCGAAGTCCCTCAGGGCGCGGAGTCTAAGTCCCAGGCTGCCCTTCACCAGGGCCCCTGATGGTGGGGATGGACTTGACGCAGCCAGGAACCAGGTCACGGCCCCCCGAGACACCTCAGCTGCGGTAATGGCCGCCGCCAATGGCGTGTAGCTGGTGGAAGAGACAAAAGAGTAGTCAGACAAGCCGGGTCAACAACAACAGGACAAAACAGTACAGGACAGCAGACGAGAATACCAGGTCACGAGCCGGGTTCAGCAACAGAGGGTCAGATCAAGGGAGAATACAAGAATAGTCAAGTCACAAGCCGAATCAGATACCAGGAGAGTCACGAGAGTCAGAACAGAGTAAAAAGCAAAACACAAAGACAAAAGTGCAAAGAGCATGTGCGGGCCACAGGCTTATATGTCATCAGCCACACCCCTCTGGGGGATGGACCACAGAGACCTGAAGGCATAAAAGGATTCCCATCATGCACAGCAGAATCCAAGATGGACGCCAGCACATGGAGTAACATAACCTCAGGGAAAAGGTAGGACCTTGACAAGGAGGTCTTGCAAGGAGCGGAGAGTACGGTTTGGGTGATATTTAGAGAGAAGATCGTTGATGTAATTTGGGGCATGGCTTTATATGTTATTGTTAATGTTTTGAATTTTATCCGTTGGGCAATGGGAAGCCAGTGGAGGGATTGGCAGAGAGGGGTGGCAGATACAGAACGGTTAGTAAGGTGGGATAAGTCTGGCAGCAGCATTCATGATAGACTGAAGAGGGGATAGCGTGCGATGAGGTAGGCCAATGAGGAGGGAGTTGCAATAGTCAAGGCAAGATATAACATGTTATGAAACGATCGGCCCCCCCTGCTCCTACTTGCTCCCCTGCTGTGACAGCTAGTGGAGGATCTTCTCCCCCTACTACCTGTCAAAATTGTAAAAAATCGCAGCCATGCAGGACTCCCCTCAATGCTTTTCAGGCTCCTGCAACAAAAAATAATAAATACACATTTTTTTACCTGCAAAAAAATGTGCATTAATTATTTTTGGTAAAAAAGTAAACTTCTCTTTTAAAAATTTATACTTTTTAGTGCTGTCAAGAAATCAATAAAGAAAATATATTGAAAACACACTAAACGATCCATGTCATTGTAGAAAATAGCTTGCTTTAGAAATGTTATAGATTGTATTTTCCATTGAATTTGCCCAGTACTATGTAATAGTAGTATATAACACTTACGCTGACTTTCCTTTTTTTTTTCTCTTTTGATGAGTATTAATGGAAACACTCTCACCCTGAGCAGTGAAGGCATGTGAGGAATGTTGCTGCTCAATGATCTTACCTTGAACCCTACATGTACACAGCCAGCCAGGCCTAACGTCAGCCTACAGAAATCAATTTACATTGAAACATTTTATTGCCTCAGCAGACCATTACCTCATAGGATGTGTACAATCCTCTATACAAAGATAAAAGGATCAAATGAATGTATTGGTGGCAGGGCCGGATCTAGACTGTTTGATGTAGGGGTGCAGTAAAAAATCTCAGGGGGCTGGGGGGGCAGAGGATGTGAGATGCGAGGTCAGTAGGGCAGTGTACAGGGGGCCAGCATGGCAGAGGATAGGATCAGCAGTTTATAGGGCAGTCTATAGCGGTCATTAGTTTGTAGGACAGTGTACAGAGGGTTATCAGAGCAGAGGACAGTGTACGGCGGGTCACAGAACAGAGGACAAGGGTCAGCAGGGTAGAGAAAATGGGTTGTCAAGTTAGCAGTGCAGAGAACAGGAGTCAGCAGGG